CCACCACATTTTAAAAAATCCTGATCATCACCAAATCATCGCGCGACTGCAACAGACGCGAGGAGTGCACTCTTAGAGAAAGGTGGTATTAGTTTTGCTAAGGAGAAGGAACTGAAACCTGAATGGAGGGAAGTACGGGAAGGGAGTGATCACGAGAAAATACCCGAAGAACTCCATCGTGAAGATCCAGGTCGAACTCACGGCCAATCACATGGGCTTTTTCGAGTTCCGACTCTGCCCCAACAACAATCCCAAGAGGGTAAGCCGACGATCCCGTTCCCGCTTCGAATTCCCGATCCGGATTTAGCACGATGGAAATCCCGTAGGACCCGAGCCAGAAGTGCCTGGACAAGTACGTGTTACAACAGGCGGACGGCAGCGGGGAGCGGTATTACCCAGGACCGGGGAACGGGGTCTTCACCGTGCGGTATCTCCTCCCGAAGGTGAGACCGGATGAGAAGCTTTCGCAATCTTTCCATTCAATGCAGTGTCTCCCACACCCGGTAGCTCTTTTTTCGACCCGGCTTCAAGGCCTTTTTTCTCCTGCTTCACGCTCTTCGCGATTTCGCAACTCCCGTCTTTGCGACGAATTAAATTCTCTTTTCCTTTCTTTCCCTGCAGGACGTGTTGTGCAGTCAATGCGTGCTGCAATGGCGATACGTGGCGGGGAACAACTGGGGCATGTGTCGGAACGGGACGGGAGCCCTGGGATGCGGACCCCAGGAAGAATTCCGAGCCTGCTCCGACGTCGCGATCGAGGGCGAGGGCGAGATCACTCACGAGGACGAACCCGACGAGTACGACAACGAGATCGGGCCCGGAGAATCGGGCGGATCGGGAACGGAAACGGTGGGAGACGACGACCGGTCGACGGTGGGCCAGACGGTGGCCCTCGTCGCGGCCTTCGTCCTCACCACTCTGCTCCTCCTCGCCGCGATCCTTTACTTCTACCTCGGACTGGGGACGAGAGCGAAGGAGTTCCTCGCCGCGCACCGCCCGCGCCTCTCGCGCTCAGGGAAGAAGAAGCCCCGACCTCAGAAGTGGGGTGCGAACGGAGGTCACATCACCATCTCGGGCCCCGTGTTGAACTCGTGCACCTCGCAGCACGTTCACGTCGTCCCGGCGCCCACGCGGCCGCCGAGACATCGATCTCCCAAGAAGGTCTCGCCGGGGATCTCGCTGCCGGACGAGACTTACATCACCGTGAACGGAGTCGCCCTCCCCGACTGAGGGAGGTCGGCGCGACGACGAGCGAATCTCGTCCTGTGATCCTCGGAACGTTCGCGTGGCTGCTGCACCTGCAATATGTGATTCCGCGTCTGTATAGTACCTTTCGACGTATCTTATTTGTACAGGACCTCATCCCCGCACCCCTATCTTAGGAGTTACCTGACGTTCGATCGAGTCCAGACACCAAAGGTCACCAGCATGGACCCCATCGTTTCATCATCTCATCTGAATAAAGACGCTATCGAAATCGTTGTGAAACCGGCGTGTCTTTCATCCGATGACAAAAGCGAGAGGAGGTCGTCGGACTCGAGAGAGCGGGGGGTCGTACCGAGAAACGATCGGAATCGACGAGATCGCATCTCGTATTCTTTCTTCTGCCCGCCCCCGTCACGTGAACGATGTCTAATCTCGGATTTGCCTTTGCGCTTTCGCAGTCGAGAGAAGAAAATAGATGCCTCTGCGACGCGGGGGCGTTAAGGGACATGGATGTC